CATGTGACCAAAAAAGGACGGTCATGTGACGCACGAATTTCGTAACCACAAATGATCGCCACAAATAATTTGTAAGCAAATTAGTGTCAAACCATCTATATGGATACATAATGACGGTCAAACTCATTTCTAATTTGTGATTGTCATAAATAACATAGCTTCATCTCTAGATAGATGGAAAATGACCGTAATTTTGATTTAAAAATGCACATTAGGCTAACGCAAAATTAATTCAAAGGAAAATTGATAGTAAAACAATGAGCTCGCATCTGTATAGATAAAAAATGACTGTCATTTTTTCTTGACCAATTGTGACGGTCATAAAAGGGTGGGGAAATTGCGCCAGTTGTGGAAAACGTCTCGTCATGTGACCGTCAATGACAGGTCATGTAATGCCTTCATAGCTCTATCTGCATCTTATTTAAAAAAAAAAGAATTCTCAACTCTGTGGAAAAGTTGAGTGTAAATTAAAAGGCAATTGATGATCAAAAATTCAATTTCCAAAATGCAAATCTGAAAATAAATTGAGAGATAATTGAGAATCAAAAATCCCATTGTCAAAAAAAAAATCCAGTTCTCAACTCTCAGAAAAACTGGAGATTAGATTGCGAGATTATTCAGAATCAATAATCCAATTTTCAACTCTAAAAAAAAGTTGAGTAGATTGAAAGATTATTGAGAATCAAAAATTCAACTCTCAACTTGCGAATTGAGAGTTTTTGTGAATTGAGAGTTAGATTTTTTGTTTTTGAAAATCGTATTTTTGATTAGAGAATCGGCGAATTTTCTCGAAAATTTTCTATATTGTAGCTTTTCCCGAAATTTAGCGCAAACACGGTGAGTTTCACTTGTTTTGTTGTTTTTGTCAATTATCATTATAATTATTATTATTATTATTATTATTATTAGTTTTGTTATTATTATTATTGTTATGGCTGTAGGAAAGTGCAATACAGTGTGTTGCTCCATTTCCACGAGTGGGAGTGAGATGCAGGAATGCTTGGTACCCGTGGGCCCTCATTGGGTTACACCCTGAGCTATTCGCTCGACAATTCTCATTTCCATACGCCGAGTTTCGGGGGTTTCAGTGGCGTCATCTGGCACATTTGNTGAGATGCAGGAATGCTTGGTACCCGTGGGCCCTCATTGGGTTACACCCTGAGCTATTCGCTCGACAATTCTCATTTCCATACGCCGAGTTTCGGGGGTTTCAGTGGCGTCATCTGGCACATTTGCCTATAACTGAGCTAGACAGTATGGCGACAGCTGATCGCCTCAATTCCGATTCCACTGATTGTAAGAGCAGCGGCGTCTAATCCCTTCGGGACAACCAAAGAGGATTGACGAAAGTAGAGGCTCAGATCTTGGGGTTGGACTGACCCCAAGCCAAAAGTAGTTCGACCCCAACGGAGGGA